GTCGGAAAAATAAAAACGTTCAGATTTAGTGCACGAAAGAAACAAAAAAAATGCATATTAGTGAACGATTGTCGAATTTCTGACTAAGGGATCATGAAGCAGAATTAGACTTAAGTCAGAATTTGAGTCATTCATAAGAATAAAAAACATTATTAAGTGACGCTTGAAAATTCAAATAAACAACATGAAAGGAAGACAATTTTAAACAATACTTCAAAATTTTACATGTTTTCAATGATAAAATTTTAAGAAGTTGAACAATTTCTGACTTCAGTCTAAATTTGCTCCATGATCTACTGGGGCCTGTTTTTTTCGTGTCATCAAACTTGAAGACACAACTATACAATGTATTTGAGTGAGTCTTTTCAAATTTGCGACTACACCACGACACAAACTATTGACCAATTACTGTAATGCATTTTTGGGACTTCTTTAAAAAAGCAAACTAATTATACAGATAGATATGCACTAAGTAAATAACATTTAATTTTATCTTAAGTCGGCACTGTGTACAACTTTGTAGAGCTCTTTAGCCGTTTATCACAGATAAGAATATATATATATAAAAGTTAGCATACAAAACACACATACATATTTTACGTATATAGACATAGTGAATAAATAAAATAGAGGATGATGCAAAAAATGTATAATACTAGTAAGACAGGAAAACAAAACATTTGTAATGCAAAGTATTTGCTTTGAAAAGAAAAGTTAATGATAAAAAATATTTCAGTAAATAAAACCATTGCAGTCAGTTTTAAAAAACACTAATAGCTACCTTTAAAAACTTACAGAAATTCACTAAAAATGACCAAAATAAATCAAAACAAAAAAATAATTTAAATTCCGCAAATCACACATTTTGCCTTTTGGGTCAATTCCTACCAACACTGACAAGGTTTTGTTGCTGAAAGAATTTCAGAAGGAGAAACGGGACAATTTGAATAAACAAAAAATAAAAAGAAACAAGGATCCTTGAGAGCTTACACCTCTGCCATCATAGGATGTTGCTCCAGGAAGTTCACCCCTCCCCCAAATTTACTGGGACGAAACAACGATGAGAAAAAAATTGGATTCTGAAGGATTTAAAACACACATAATAATAATAAATTTCCAAAAAGAAATCTTACCTCCATGATGGAAAATTGAAAGTGAAGAAAGATACTTGTTAAACCTCTAAACAAATTTAACTTCTGACTGACAGAAAAGGCATCAATATTGATGACGTCACAATAGAAGTATTAATCCGCAGGGTAAATCATGACGTTAAAGAGCGCCATTTAATAGTTCCATAGTTACTACTCAAGAAAAAATAGTGAAATATTTAAAATACCAGTATTTACATTTTTGAAATATGGATCAAACTGATAATTGCATATATTTTGTCGTGTTAATTGTATATATATTCAAAAATAAATAAAAAGCCCTTTCTTGATTACAGGCCCGTAGAAAGGAGGGGGGTACATGTACCTCCCCCACCCACTTTTTTCTGATGTAGTATTTTACTATAGCTACATTTGTAACATTTATTTAGATGCTGCTTCGCCCCACCACTTTCTGTTGCTGTAAGGTCGAGGACTGGGAAAATCCAGGATTAGAAAAAAATGTACCAAAATGTAAGAGAAAGGTCCACCTCCCACCTCCCCCCCCCCCCCCCCACCCCTCACACACATACACGAAATAGGATTTTCGAGTTTGGATTTTTTTCTTTTTTTAATTTGCTTTTCAAATTTTTTGGGGGAACCTCCCCCCCCCCCTATTTTTTGCTAACAAAAAATAGCAAACATCTTATTACAAAGGAAAAAATGTAAATTTAAGCTGAAAATATATGAAACAAAAATAAAACAAGAAAACTTTATGATCCCATGATAAATTGTTGACATACTACATACTACATGTAGATAAAAATGTTTTAGTCTTAAATAGAAGGGAACCGACTATATTTGTCCGAGATCGGTATACATACTTGTACGCCGAATTGCGCCAATCATTTGACCGGTGTTGCAGAGTGAGAATTCCCCCATAGTCAAACTTCCCCTAGGAAATCAGGCTCCAGATAGAGTGAGACTTTCCCCGGAAGTTTTGCTCTAGGGTGAGACTTCCCACTGGGGCTGACTCTATGACTCTAGAGCAGGATAACTCCCGGGGGAAGTCTCGCTCCATAACCCCTTTATCCTGCGGGAAGACTTACTCTATCTACTAGATGTAGAGTTAGACCTACCACAAAGTAGGTTTTCCCCCTTCATTAAATTTTGCTTTTACTAGAAGCTCTAAACACTAATGAAAAATGTTTTCTGAACTTTGAGAAAAGGTGTGAATTTTATGAATATCATGTTCGTTTTCAACATAGGGACTTGCCATATTTCTTCAGGAAAAATGTACAAAGACAATGGAGTATTAGTGAACGGAAATCACAATTATTTAGTTACACTGGGAAAATACATGCAAATAATGCTTTTTTAAAATGACTTTATCTTGGTCTATTATGATGTTAGGATTAGTTTAATCTGTTTCAGTTATTTACTGTACATACTTTTTATTCCTTTTTACTTCAGAGGGCAGATCACTCTAACTGCAAAAACCACCATGGGCTTCCAATGAGCTCTAGTCATTGTGTTTTATGGGTTCTTGTTGATGAAAAACTTTTAGTAACAAAAACATTATTTGGGGTAGTGTATATTCCCCCTGAAAATAGTTTTTACAGTGATACTGATGTGTTCACTGACACAGAAAACACTATAGTTATATAATGCGAATATTCAAGTCTACTTGGTGATTTTAATGCTCACACTGGTATGCTAATGATTACATCGATATTGATGACCATGTATTAAATACTTGTAATATTTTAAATGATGATCAAGCACTTATTAACAGTTCGCATATTCTTGAGAAATATAATGTGCCTTTTAAGGTATTAACAAGACAAATGTAAAATTAATAGAATATGTTAAAACTATTCTAGAACTTTGTAAAAACATGGGACATTTCATTGTGAATGGTCGTATTGGTAATGATATATGAGTCGGTGTTTCTACATGTAAAAAAAACTCTGTTATAGGCTATGTGGCAACGCACTTTGAAAAAATTACGCACTTCAAAGTGCGTTAATTTTGGGACAAAATCAACGCACTTTGAAAAAATTTTGCAAAGTGCGTTGAATTTGGAACCAAATCAACGCACTTTGAAAAATTTTTTCAAAGTGCGTTAAGAGTGTACATTATAATTTTTTACCATGTACACACTTAACGCACTTTAAAAAAATGTGTACAAAACTTTTGGACTTAAATTTTAGTAATAGACAACATTATTATCCCCTCGCAACGTTTGAGGGGATATAGTAACGCGATTATGTGTGTTAGAATGTGTGTTTTAGTTTTTCCTGTGCGAAACGGAAGAGACGTTATTTGCATCGGGATCGATGTCAAATGCTGCCTTGATTTATAGAATATGCTTTGGGAAGGAATGCTCCGCTTTGCGATGCCCTTGTAAAAGTTCCAGTCGAGTGAGTATTTTGGCTAATGTTTTATTTTATTACTATCAAATTAATCAGTCAAGAGTATGTTCATATTGAATATGATAGATAGATAGAGAGAGAGAGAGAGAGAATTTTCATGGTAGAGAAAAATCATAATTGCCCCTTTTTCCCTTTAAGTCACATCCACCGAACTTCTTACAAACTGGATTAAAATAAAAAAGGAACGAAATTATGCTATTAAACAATCATTTCTCAAAGACCCATTTCCCTTTTATCAAATTTACGAGAACTGTTGGGAAGAAAACAACCCCTAAAAATCTTTAAAACGTCTATATCTCAGATCCTGAAGTGACATCATCACTGAAAAAGTATTAAACCAGGTTCAAATAATTATTTATCATATCTAAAATTTGCAAGAATATTAAGCAAGACGTGCACATTTTTTTTCAAAGTGCGTTAATATGGTCGATGTTAACGCACTTTGAAAAAAAAAATAAAATTTTTCAAAGTGCGTTAACGTGGTCCCAAAATTAACGCACTTTGAAAAAATTGTTCAAAGTGCGTAATTTTTCAAAGTGTGTTGTAACAAGGCTATGTTATTCTTTCTCCAGAAATGTTAGGTGTCATTTCCAATTTTGATGTATTACCATATGATCCAATATTAAGTGATACTCAGAAGCCAATTTCCTTACAAATGTGCATTGCAAATGCTGAGAACAGTGATGGTGCTTTTATCGACAGTATGTACATTGGTCGTACATAAAATGACTTGTCAGGACAAAGTAATGAACAAAATGTAAAACCTAAATTGGTTAGAGAACGACGAGCCACTGTGTTTATAGATAACATTGATATGACAAAAGTTTAGTCTATTATAGATACACTTGAGAACTTTGATCCTATCAAAACCAGTGTTGAAACCATTAATAATATTATTGATGATATAATATAGTATGTTAGAATATTAATAATAATATTGATGATCATACATTCTATATTATATCATACGATGATATAATTCAAGAATGCAGCTGAACAGGCTGATACATTTGTTATAATTTCAATTCTAGTTCTCATAAGTAAAATGCAAACACCAGTAAGCATCTTGCATGTAGAAAGGCATTTTTTTTAAATGATGAATGTTATGTCAAATTTAACCTAAAGCATATAGGATGTCTCGCAAATATTATTACAGAGTTCTTTCAGAGGCAAATCATAGGGACCTTGTTAATAAAAGTAAGGATTATAAGAAAACTTCACAAAGGAAGTTTAATGAGTATCAAAAAGATTTTATTGCAAATCGAAGAGGCATTAGAACCACAGATCCAAAATCATACTGGTTTTTACTGAACAAGTGTTGTGATAAGAGTAATACTGTAAACAAAAAGTTAAAATTAATGTTTTCTGATCATTTTAAGAATTTAAACAATATTGACAATGATGTTGATGTAGTTTTGCTTAAGAATGTAAGAGTATTTTACTGAATTTAATTCTGTTATAAATGAACTTATTACAGCCA